TCCCGTACAGGCCTGATTTTTTTCAGGTCTGATTTTCGCTATTGCTTAAATAGCGCTATCTACTGCGAGGATCGTGCATCATATGTATCTAATACCGCAGTACAAAATATATGAACTTCATATATTTCATTGTATCTCATTTATCACTTTCACGGGTTTATTACGAATCAACTTAACGGCCTGCTCCCAGTTGGCTTGTTAGCTCAATTGGTAGAGCGCTGCACTAGTATCGCAGAGGTCAGTGGTTCGAGTCCCGTACAGGCCTGATTTTTTTCAGGTCTGATTTTCGCTATTGCTTAAATAGCGCTATCTACTGCGAGGATCGTGCATCATATGTATGTAGATTCAGTGACAAAATAAATAACCGAGCTTCCAAATAGGATAAAATGATGAAATCTTACCTTTCTAAATAGCTAGGCGCATGTTGTAAATTTCAGATGAGTTTTTCAAAGAACTTCTAATGTTATGGGTCAACGCAATAGATAACCTGAATGTAATGTGGTGCTTTCTGAAATTTTCAGTAAATCTGCCTCCCAACATCACAACACCATCCGTGAGATACGCCCTTCTCGGTGAGGACCTTCAACTACAGTTAGAGGGCGAGGATCCTGAAAGTAGACCGTTTGTAATATCTATGATTGACGGAAATCCATCACAAGGAAAGCTGTCTGCAAGCCATATTCTTCACTGGAAACCTGAGACACAAAATTCTACAAACTTTTTCTTTCGAGCAACCGATGAGTGCAACGCTTCATCCACATTTAACATGAGTATTAACATTGTAATCTGTCCCTGTACTGAAAAAGGAATATGTGAACCCGACCCCAGTCACCCACGAGGATCAGGATTGTATGTTTGTAAGTGTCAGCCTGGCTACGATGGACAGAGATGCGAGAAGGAGATAGACGAGTGTTTACTGTCTCCATGTGTTCATGGTGAGTTTCATATTTTTCGGAGAACATCGCATTGCTCTTGATGTAGTTGTTATTGTCTTTGTGTGCTAGTCACTCTAATTGTTTGTTTTTTCCATTTGCAAGCATTATTTAAATATAAAATATCAGCAGTCAAGAATTACAAGGATTTTTTTAATGTTATGTTGAGTGGTTAGAAGTCTTTAATGCCATTAAAAAGTCACCCAAATCGTGTTTAAGTATTTGAAAAAAATATATCTACTCCTACTTCTAGGCACGTGCAAAGACGAAATAAACAATTACACGTGTACCTGTGACCCTGGTTACACTGGTTATAACTGCAGTGTAGATATTGACGAGTGCCAGTCTGCTCCGTGTATCCACGGTAAGTTTTCCCTTTACAAAAGAAATATCCTGGAATAAAACTCTACTAAAGGACAGGCTATTGCTGTGCACAGGGAATTCCAGCAGAAGCAAAGTATCCTCCCTGACACAGCCCTAGTTTGAATCCAAGTTCCTAGCACCGTATATATAGTCTCGCTCGCAACCTGTTTGTACAGTACCTTTCCCACACGTTTTTAAATAACTTGCTACCCTTGTCATTTACCCCTCCTAGTTGTTGTTCTTGGGTTGTAATATTAAGATAAATTTAGTATAAATTGTCTCTTAATAGTTCGTTCCAATTTGTGACAACATTTTGAAAAGTGAAGGATCGTATAGATTGAAATTTTGAAATACGCACTTTAAAACTAGTACTTCGACTCCAGAAAAGTAATTAGTCGTGGCCCCTTAGATAAACTTTATCTTAATGGTGACCACTAATTATTTTTATCTAATTTCTATCGTTTTCTTTGCGGCAGGAAACTGTTCGGACCTTGTCAATGGTTTTAACTGCTCTTGTCAATCTGGTTTCAATGGCACTCGATGTGAACACAACATCGACGACTGTCCTTCCTCTGGTTGCGGAAACGGTGAGGAAATAGCTTGAGCCGGTTTTATCCTTATCATCTGTTTCAAAAACATTATAGCAGAAAAGAGGGATTTACTGAGTCCTGTTCTTCCAAGGAAAGATGGTTCATGGCTCACCCAAGGAAATCTTTGGAACTGTTGAAACATTAAGCAAAGGCCCTAATGTTTAGCGTCTAAGTTATTCTATTCTTTCACATTTGTTTTACATTTCTAATGCATGTTATTTTTCACTTTTTACGAAATGATTTGTTTATGCAGGTACTTGCGTCGACCTCGTAAACAATTACACTTGCCAATGTAATGTTGGATTTAGAGGCCAACATTGTGACAGCGTCATCCGAAATTGCTCGAGTGACGCATGCTTTCCCGGAGTTCGCTGTATTCAGAAAACGAATACCATCACGTGTGACCCTTGTCCCACCGGATACTTTGGTGACGGAAAGAATTGCAAAGGTATCAGCGACTTAAGCATACATTAACGAATCCTAGCAACGATACAGATAGCTGAACGGACAAAGGGCATTTAATCAAGGCACAATGAAAAATTAAACTGAGGATTAGGTTCCTGTGGATGCACTTTTAAAAAGAATGTTGGCAACTTTGTTTAAGTTATTTTCGTCAGAATAACAACGTATTTCTGCCAAGTGGAAATCTTAACAGTCCAACAGTAGGTTGTAAATTTCGGCCCTTTGTTAATCACAAATCACTAACTTCGCATTTTTGGTGGAGAAGGTTCTACGTTAGTTAATTATGTAACGATTCACAAAATCCCTAACGAAAGTTTTGATTTAAACTGTTAATGGTCATGAACCATGCACTATAATCAGTCTTATTTTATAAGCGAGAGACGGGAGAGCAAAAGTATCAAGAGGTCGTCCTTGATTCCTCTGTTATTTACAATTTCTGTTCAGGAGTTTACCCCGCAATAGTTTTCCCCCTTATAGCCTTTGTCCCTTATATGTGTTTGTTTATTTTCTTGTCCACCTATTTTAGACGTCGATGACTGCATCAATGTAACATGCAAAAATGGCGGTTCGTGTATCGATGGAATAAATAATTACACGTGCTCGTGCCAGTCGGGGTATACTGGAGACTGGTGTGAGACAGGTAGGAATCTAACGTTGTTTATTAAATGGACGAGAGATTTTTACCGGAAACTAAAGCTAAAACACTCGTAAAATCAACACGACCACTCTATCTAGGAACAGAGTGGCGTAGATGTATTTCTCGAGTAGTCAAATTAAGCAACGACATCACGTTTCCTGTCTCTTTTAAAAACTTTGCTGAATGAACTTGGTTTTTCCGTTGTAAATAATGGCCGCCGCAAGATTTACTGGGGTAAGCGATGAAGATGAAAATGCATTTTCAGAAAAAAACAACAACAACAAACAAAAAAAACAAAAACAAAAACAAAAAAACTAAAACAAGACAACGAAAACATAAAAAAACGCTGCATGATCTAAAGATACGGAAAGAATTTCACGAGAGAGTTTTTATTAAAGCCAACCTCTCAATTGCAATCTCTACCTTAAGGTGAAAGGCAGATTACATGTTAGCTTTCAGATATGAACTTTATATTCTTGTGGCAAGAACAATATCTCACGTTTTCGATGCGCTCACTCGTAAGATGTTATTTTTGCCACTCGGTCATAAAATTCATAGCGTGTGGCCATTGCATGATATTCGTTTCATTACTGCATTTGCTTCAACGGACGAGCATGGTGTAGAGGCAAAAACAAATATTAAACCATCGGCCATTTTTACTTTTATGAAAAAAGCTTATGATGACCTCCTTATTGAACTGAGCTGTATAAATATCTGTTGCAGTTATGTTGTTTTCCTTTTAAAACATGAAATTGCCATTTAATTTCTTATCAATAGTGAAATCTCGTCTTCAAAATCCATCCTAAAAAGGCCCAACCTTTGACTTTGGCCTCGTTTGACACTGTAGTAGTCATAGAACAATGAAATACATATTTTTTTCTTCTTAAGAATATTATAAGTATGATTTAAATTCCTTAGGTAAGATTTTCAGCTAATGAACAATCTTAGTACTGGGTCACGTGTCGGAAAAGGAAATAGAAAACCACAGCACTTTCCATCACCGGGATTTTCCCCGACAAGAATTTAAACTATATTATTTCCATATATGTTACTTTATGACATGCCCGGCAAATTTTAAATTTTTTTTAAATATACAGATATTGACGATTGTGTGTCTGCTCGATGTGACAACGATGCAACGTGTGTGGATGGTGTCAATCAATTCAGTTGCGTATGTCAAAAAGGCTTTAGTGGGAGATTGTGCGACATAGGTAAGAAAAACATGGGAAATGAGCTTTCAGCTTTAGCTTTGAAATTTTCACAAATTTTCCGAGAAGTCTATCTGTGACTGATATGAAGAGCTCGTTTACTGCTCCTTGTTTCAATTACCTTTAACATTTCAGACATAGATGAATGTGCCACGCTGCCCTGTAAAAATGGCAGCTGCCAAGATGGTCCCAACTCTTTCACGTGCACATGTCAAAGTGGTTTTACTGGAACCTACTGCGAAACAGGTGGATGCATATACAACTTCTTCGAAACCTTTCACCAGATTTTAATCGAATTTCCGATTAAAACCTACCATTCTGTAAATACAGCTAATGTTCTCTAGTCATAGATTCTTAAAAGATGGCTAATTACTCCAGCTGAGCGGCCAAAGAGCAATTAGCTGCAAAATCAGTTGACAGCCGCTAAAGCTAAGCTGTGTTATCAACAGACGATTCTTAATTTCACCTTTCTGATTAGTGTCAAAAGGGAAAGAAAATTGAAGGAAGGAAAAAGACAAAAGTGATAATATATGCAGTGTTGGGTCATTACAGAGAACTTGTTGCACATAAGCAAATTTTGGTTATCTCTTAATTGTTTTCTGAAAACCCAGTGGTATCTGTTTTCCTGAACTAAGGATAACATAGGTAAAAAAAATGGTAGCCTACTTAGGAGCCATGTGGCTCATCGGGCCGGCGCTTAACTCCGGTTTCCGTAGCATGAAGCGACTAAGAGTATTTCTAGCCCCCCCCCCCTGGGTGGGATGCTAGTCCATCGCAGGGTTACCCCTCAGCATTAAATTTGCCGGTACCCATTTATACACCTGGGTGAAGAGAGGTACTGTGAGAGTAAAGTGTCTTGCCTAAGAACACAACACAATGTCCCCGGACCACTCAATCCGGAGTCGAGTGCACCAACCATGAGGTCACCGCGCCTCCTACAAGGATAACATGGAAAAGTTTTATTCACCTGTTGAATTCAATATTTTTCCCACTGAGCCCCTATATCAGTTTACGTTTTATTTATATATTTCTATTTTGTCTACAGACGTGCATGATTGTGTCTCAGCTCGATGTGCTAACGGAGCAAAATGTGTAGATGGTGTCAACCAGTAGAACTGTGTTTGTCAAACAGGATTCACTGGGAAATTATGTGAATATGGTGAGGAAAACAATAACCCAGGATGGGGGGTGGGGGATACTGTTCAGTAGAAGCTACATACGTCTGTGCCATCAAATTGGGTGTTCTTTGAGCCATTTTTGTCTGAGAACGGACGTAGATTTAGATATGGAGCCACAAGAGTGTAAATAAAAAAAGAACTTGTCTTCTTAATTCCAAATAGGTAATAGAGAAATAGAAGTAACCAAATTAGAATATCAAAATTGTCAAGTATGTTTTACGTATCCTTAATTTCGGCGCTGATACAAAGCTTGATTTTGCTTCAAAAATGTGTAACATGGATTTGCAAAACATGTACAACTCTAAGAACCAGGTCTGGGAGCTCGTACTGGCTTTGAACACCTGTGCGGAAAATGGCATGTTTCAATTAGAAATAAGGACAGAATTTGTAGAACTGAGCGGCAGGCCTTTGCCAAGATTTCCTTGGAGTACCTCATTCCCTAACTCACACTCGGAAATACGATCACATTACACCGGCCTTGAAAGCTCTTGGCTGGCTAACTATAGGAATGCAACTTCGATTGCGTGATGTGACAATGATGTATAAATGTACGTATGATGCACGATCCTCGCAGTAGAGAGCGCTATTTATACAATAGCGAAAATCAGACCTGAAAAAAAATTAGGCCTGTTCGGGATTCGAACCGCTGACCTCTGCGATACTAGTGCAGCGCTCTACCAATTGAGAAAACAAGCCAAATGGGAACAGGCCGTTAAGTTGATTCGTAATAAACCCGCTATTGCATAAATAGCGCTCTCTACTGCGAGGATCATGCATCATACGTATCTAATACCGCAGTTCAATATATATGAACTTCATATATGTATTGTATCTGATCTATAAATGTGTTACAATTTTTTACGTCTGACAACTAAGCTATATTCTTCATCTATCATTATCATCATCGCTAAAGTACGTGTATCATTAACATTTCTTTTCGTCCGGGACTCTTAGAGGTGACACCTACTCTCACTACTGGAGGAAAGACGGAAATAACTTCAACCTTAGTGGAACATAAAACAACTGAGTCTCCAACTGAGCCTGGGACAGATAAACTAAAATCGGGTATGTTTTCTTTCCCTTTCTTTTTCTTTTTTTAGGAACCAAAATGATTTAATCAAGATCTCCAAATTGATCTTCATAATAATAATAATAATAATAATAATAATAATAACGATAATAATAATAATAATAATAATATTTGGTCAATGAGACCCCTTACAGTATATATAACTGAATTACAGTTCTGGCCAGCAAGGAATAATAAAGCATTTACTCAAAGTATATATCTAAGGAACAATTGATTACATTAGCAACTATCAAGCGTATATGGCAAATAAATCTTTCAAATGCCTCAATTAGTCTTTGAGAACGCCAGGCATTACAGTGTAGATGCCACCCGTCTTATTTCAAAAAGTAAAGGAGTACTTCTGAAGAGAAATCGATAACAATGAGTGGCAAGCAGTGACGATAACAATGTCGTCTTAGTAACCAGGTTTATCAAAAGACTTTCAGTTTGGAAGAAAAAATTTTTATAAAGAGGTTTTGCTTTTTCATATGTGGAATGCTGATCACGGTAGCTTCTCTGCGAGCTGAGTAGACGTGCAGGTGATTCTGCATTCGTTGCTCCTACAGGATATTTTAATGTTAAAGTAATATCTTCTTCACAGTTAGTCTACTAATTTCTTTGTAATCAACAGATTTCAAACTTCAAATAAGAATCAAGAGGGAATGGGACAGCAGCCTAGTAGACTCGACTAGTGAAAAATTTAAAGAGCTTTCCAGCTTACTGAAAAAAGAGGTATTCCAGAGGTTTATTCTATAGGTTCTGTTTTTCATTACCCTCTCCATTTCTCTGAAAGGGTGATCTTTCTAAAATTTATATAGGTAACAAATCACTTCAAGTGCATTTGACATAACTTTTTCAACGATTAACGAATTTGCAAAAGCCTGTAGTGCGAGTGCGATTTGTTGTCTGTGAAAAATTACAGGTGCTGATTTACCTGAAATTGCAAGAGTTGAATGATATGATTACTTGTCAATGATATAAATGCAATAGACACAACTACTCAAAAATTTTTCTTTTTTGATTAGTTGTGTCTATTTCGTGTCATGGGTCACCGATTCGGCTGCTTGCCTTTTGCCTTGTTTCCAGGGTAGTTGGGCTTTTCCCACAGGAACTTGCTTCAAGTTCTCAAGACGCAGTCTGTCTAAGAGTGGTCCAGCGTAGTCCGGTTCAAAAAATCGATTTCTTTTAAACGTTTCCATGAACCTGTCTTAGTCCAAACGTAATCGAACTTTTTTTGTTTTTTTTTTTTCGAAATATTGCAAAAAAAAAAAAAGGTTTGGTTTTGACCTAGATGCAAGAGAGAAGGAACCCTTTATTTCCCTTACAGAATTATTTAACCCAATTGACATATGGAAATTCTTGAAATTAAAATATGCCTTTTTGGACATTTCCTGGTCAACTATTACCAAACTACTCAAAATGAAACATGAGAGCATACCTTTCTTTGCACTAGCATTCCGTTTTGTGACTTTAATGTTCGGTAATTCGCAAAAAGTCCAACCCAAACTAATTAGACATCTCATTTGAAACTCACACAATGCGAAGTTTTTGTTTGACACGCTGGTCATACATGTGGTCCATTAATAAACACAGGATTAAATTCTCCCTTGGATATTGCAGCACATACAAGTTATCTGATGTTAGCTTATGGGACAATGTTTTAAAAGCAGAATGACTGAAAGGATTTGAAATATCAAATTATGCCCGCTCCACACGTATACACGCCTTTCACAAACGACGTCTATACCCAACCTCCATCCAACTTACTTGTTTTATACATGTGATAGAGCTGGGTGTAGCGACCAGAAAGAGCTTTCAAGCAGGTGAAACCTTTACTTGCAGTTGAATTTGCAACGCGATTTTCGGTATGTGTCAGTATTCGAATCCCCTCTAAACCTTTACAGCAGGCAGTTTTCCATTATTCTAGGTAAAACATCAAAATTCGCTGAGGTGCTTCACAAGACAGCCCTGAAACAATCGATTTTCAATGGTAACGAATACCACCTTATTAGATATAACCCGGGTAATATAAACAATCCCGAATACAGTCTTTTGAAACTTTGAATGTTTACTTGATCGAAAAATAATCGATGCGACTACAAAGAGCACATGAAAATTAGTTTCTTGCCAAATCTTCAGAATGAAGTCTTACATAGAAGTGAAGCGACCGACAGTTGACCGATATAGCATCGACAGCTGACCGATATATCAGCGGCAGTTGACCAATATCCCACCGATACATGATCAATAATCGATTGAAATGTGTCTATCAGATATCAACCGACACTCGGCCGATAGTTGGTGGCTATATTTCCCGACCACCGCCTGGTTGTCGACCGACTACCGACGGACTATCGGCCGAGTGTCGACCGACTATCGACACACTATCTACCGATATGTTGTGAGTTTCTTTAGGCTTGGCATGGCCCACTGTTCTGAATACTATGGATTAAAAAATACTAAGACGAAAGTTAGTGGTAGCAGCTATCAAAAGACAAATGAATAAAGGGGGTAAGTTTCTAATGAAACCGTGGTGCTGTCCTTCGTCAGAGCGATATATTGGTGGAGAGCACCTACAGTAAACGTAATGCAATTTGTTTTTAAAAAGATTGACACGTGACCTAAAAGCCATTTGTAATTAAAGTAATCCTTCACAAGACGTAACCTAAAAATTTGAAACGAGAGTTATTTTCAGGTAAAAATTACATCAATCAATATCAGGGACTCTCATTCATTGAATATCTGAATTCTCCAAAACAATTTGTTCCTTTGTAAAACGTTGCGCGAAGTATTAAGAACTTCTAATACTCTTTCGCTTACTCATTGCAATTTCCTTGAATTTGGATAATTCTATCATATATTTCGCTACAGAAAACGAAAAAATTTGATGAGTGAAGTTGCATTAAATCTATTTGTGTCTAGCTAGAAAAAGCGTCTTATTTGAATTCAGTTTTTCGGTGGGAGAAAGACAAGATTTACACTCGCCATTGCAGAAAACAAACGTGGAGACTCTCACAACTTCAAAACACACATTTCAATTCACTTACAATTTGACTTTCCGTGACATTTAAAACTGAACAAAGGTAAATCTTCGAAGAATAGTCGTCGTTGGAAATGAACGATACTTTCCGTAAGATCTTTAAGTATTTTTAAGATTGTCGCTATGGTCATTTAACCTAGTATGTGTTTTCCATACCGCTACTGTTGTTCATTCCAAATTGTATATGCGCCGTTTTTTTCCTCTCCAATTGACTTATGTCAAATCGTGACAGATACTTATTATTAAAAGAAATATTTCGAAGTTTTAATACTTGGAAGCCTTTTAAGTTACCTTTTCCATTACGTATGAATAAATATGTTTCGGTGAAGCCTCTCTCTGTAATTTGAATAACCTTTATTTTCTTTATCTTCTACTCGTTAAAATATTGTTCAGTTTATGGGGGATCTTCCCGTAATTAAACTAGTAATTGCAGCCCTAAATCATTCGAGTTTACTTTGGCAAGCATTTCGTCAAGTGTTATAAAGAAATTAAAATGTGTTTCACCAGCCAAGGTAGGTTCGTATTGGCGACAAATGTGCACGCTTTCTTGAGTACTAAGACCTCGGGCACAGTTTTTCCCAATACGGACCTCCCCGCTGGTAAATGACATAAATGTATTCTTTATTGTTCACTTCAACTGAGATATGTAACATGTAATCTATGATGAAGTGAGCGATGTGACAAACCTTGGGCGATTTCTTTTCAAAAAGGATAGTTCCAAATATGCAAAGCAAAACAAAATTCCCGAAACAAGAGTTTTTTAAAATACGACCACGGTAGTTTACACCATTTTTATGGCTACTGCCCCCTTGGAAGGTAAAGCCATAATGTTGTCCTGTTGAGTGTGTGTAACAGAAGAATATGTACGACCCCTTACCCCACAGTGAAGTCTGCCTAGTTTTACCCGATATTCCTCGCTCTCGGCTTTTGTCTGTCTCGGGACATCTTCGGTCGTTCAACGCTTGCCGACGATTTCTTCGGATCGCCGCGAATGTTACTCAGAATTAGCACGTGATCATACGTTTCTTGATGCTGCTTATTGTTTGTTTCGGACTACTTTAGAAAATGGTAAGCATATCACAATTATTTCAGGATGGCTTTTTGAAAACCAAAGCTTTACCTTGCAGAAATGTCACAAAAAGCTGTGATCGGCGCATCGTGGAAACTCAAAGGAAAAATTTATTCTTCGAAGAGAGACTATTTTACCGTTGGAATCAGAGAATTGTGCCCAATAGATCCGAACTTGCCGTGACATCGCCAAATATGATTAACATCTCAAAATAATTTAACAGTGGCGTGTACAGCACTAATTTGAAGAGACTTTTCCTCTCAGAAGTATCAAAATAGGCATTGTCCGCACATCGTGGAAACTTTGAAGAGGAACTTTATTTTTTCGAAAAAAGAACACCTAACCATTTTAATCAGCAACAAATGCTGAAAAGAGCCGCTAAACTTGCGAAGTGAGCAAGGTCCGAAATACGATACCTTAAGTTTACAGTGACCCTATAGAACGGTGGAACGGTAGAGTGGCGGAATAACCCACATTGCGAAATGCCTTGTTGAATGAAACCAAAGTCTCATAAAAATGGAATTGCAATGAAATAAAAAAATACTTATAATTTACTGGCAATAAGTTTAATCTGGACCGATAGAGGAACAGTGAGGTTTTTGAGCTAGCCCCTATCGGTTATCATTACTATTACAATTTTTATCATCATCATCATCATTATTATTATTAGTATTGTTATTATTATTATTGTTGACATGATTACTTGTTACCATTGGTGGTTGAGTGTCAATTAGTCACTACATTCTACATTCACTACAGCCTGACTCATAAATTTGTGGGATGCGGCAGCAGTAGCCATATACAACTGCCTATTATTTAACTGCCTATTTTTTTATGTTGGGGTTATTACAAACGGACTTTTTTTTTTAACAACTCTATTGACCATTACACATATTACATACAGCAAATTAGACGACCTAAAAGAAATGGGATATATGTACAAAGTGATTAAAGTGATAAGGAGGAAAGGTCAAAAGGGCTGGTGCGAACGGGACACGAGGACCCATGCGAGGCACCGCCCATGAGACTTTTGAGCGCTGAAGCGATTTTCGCTAAGACAGATTCATGGCCAAACTTTGAAAGAAATCGATTTCTTGAACCAGAATGCACCGGACCGCTCTAAGTGAGACTGCGTCTTAAAGTCCCTGATGATGAGTTCCCGTAAAAAAAAAAGCAGAACATACGGCTTCGTAATTATTGAAATCTTCAGTTCCTTGTGGATTCATCTGATATGGAGAAAAAAACGAAGCATACCAAAAACAAAATCAAAAATCGTAAGGTTCAAGTTTGCCTGGCCGTAATAAGAGTGAAAGCTCTATATAATCTTTTTTTAACCATGTATTTCACCTGCCATAGCTTACATGTGCGATTTTCTCTTTTTCCTAAGATTTATAAGGCATATTTTGGATTTCCTGACTTAAAAGAAGTGAAAATAATTGGAATGAGGTAGTTGATTCGATCTTTTGTATTTAATTTTTTTTTTTTTGGCTGGAATAGAAATATTTAAAGTTTTGTACACTGAATAAGCTTACTTAAAGAGAGTATTTTGCTTCTGATTCTTTCATGGATAGCTGAAATTCTTAGATTCTATTTTTTCGCTGTTATTGTTGTTGTTGTTGTTGATTTTTTTTTGATTAATTTTTTTTTGCTGTTTTCTGTGTGCTTTTGTTCATTGTGTTTTCTTTCTGTCGTTTTTCAAGCTCTAAACGGACTTAGACGGTACATTCATTTCATCGTTAGCATTTACTAATTAGCTTCATTTTGAAATCAGTGTAACTATTTGCACTATAAGAAAACATTCAAATCGTTTCCACTTGTGTCTGGATTTTTTTATTTAAGACCTGGAAGCATAATAGCAGACTTTCAGCTCATTTTCAAGAGAGCTTTGAGTGCGCAAGAGGCCTTAGGTCCAATGGAAAACGAAATAAAGGATGGAAAACTTGGAAACTTGGAAGTTGAGCCGAATTCTTTTAAGACCAGTGTAGACAAAAAAGGTATTATTTAAAATGGTGAAATATCGTCCTACTGTAATGGTTTTGAACCAAATAGTACATGTAACAATCGATAGTGTAATGTGAATGTCAGTGTAAGGATAGTTTTGAAAGGATTGCTCACGGTCCCACTCGGAATTGTGTTTCGTAAGTCTATGAGCAGCTGTGGGATTGCAAGATAATGTCTTAGTTTGAATCCGTCATGTCTCTAAAATGTAGAATTACTTAAACATAAAACTTTTGCCTTTTTGAAATTCAAAGGGGAGAGACTTCTTAAGAAACTTAAACCTAGCTAATTTGGTGAAATCCAAATCTCCGTTTCTCTTGCTGTAGATGATTGTTTGACTCCCTTTGCTTTTTTTCTGCTTTTGTGGTCTTATTTTGTTTCTTTGTTTTTTTGTTTTGATTTTTTTTCCTTTTTTATATGGGACTGTCTTTGTTTGTTTTTGTTGTTGTTGTTGTTGTTATTGTTTTTCATGAAAAGGTTTATGTGTTATTTGTTTGTTTTTGTTTTTTTTACATTATTCTATGTTACTAGACCAGACATCCGACGAGGAAGGTAAGAAGACCATCTACATCATCATTGGAGTTTGTTGTGGCGTTTTCCTCTTGATCCTCGTTGTAGTCTATCTGATTCGCTACCGCAAGCGACAAGTAAGGCATTATAGCAGCCTTGTCTCTGATGGGATGCCGGATGATCATTCATTCTCAAACGATGAAAAATATGAATTGCAAAATAAGAAAGAAGATATTGTAGGCTGCGAGGAAATTGCAATTTCTTCTCCTGGCACTCACAACGAGGAACATAACACCCAGAGAAAAGAAGAATGCATTCCAAAAGAAAATCCTTACCGTAAAGGAGTTGGTTTACCTGACGATGCTAAAAGTGATCAAGAAATTGGTATCACGAATAAAGCTGTTTGTTGTGACGAAGAGGGCACCCTTCCCGTCGTTGATAATGACTAAAGCTCGTGTCGTTTTGTTTGCTCCCTTTCAATTTGTGTAGAACTTGCGAAGGCGGATGTAGAATAATCCACCATGACTTCATATTTCATGATGGTTTACTTTGATTCCTACATTTGCTGTTTAACGTTTAGATTCACTTGTGTTGGATAAGACTGGAAAATTTTAAAAGAGTGTTGTAACCGGGTTAGATTACCACTAGCAAACTTGCACAGCCTCAGTGATTGATTAGGTATGTGCTTTTTGTGAGACAAGGTGTAAAGTGCTGCTCCGAACTCTTAGGACTATTTTAAGAGTAGCGGAAAATAACATATTCTTAGAGTTAGAAAATTTACGAGCTCTCAAATTTCGCTACAATATTCTAAACATTCATTTCGACACGAGATCCTTCTGTGAGGGCTACAATACAAAAATAGATTAAGGCCAGAAATTGACCAATTTTGATAGAATCAGCAGCTACCAATATAAAACAGGTACTTTTTTCAACTTTTTGTGTGCTTTATCATGAAATATATAGGAAATAATCCACCTTCTGTAAGCTGTTTTTTTTTTTGTGTGTGGATTAGAAGATATATTTTTCATTTGTTCATTTGCATTTGTTCAAAGACCTCTTTCACAATCTTCCTTACTATTAATAAATCGACAGTGGTTTAGCATGGTCTGTTCTCCTATCGACAACGACATTCGTCATCGCAGTGGTAAGAATTAAATGTTGGGGCTTACGAGGCGTGACTGAGAACGCAACCCGTAACAATTCACTGCAACAAACGCGTTGGTTTAATCATCACGCGCAGTTGAATTTAACCACTTGCTTAGGCACAGATTGAATTTTCGGCTTTAATTTGGCTATCATCCTCCAATATTTTATACTGTTTGGCCTCCACATGATCTAATTTTTAAAAAACTTTGTCGTCTTGAAACCTCATCTTTTGTCTGTTGTTAGTATCCATAAGGTTTATTTTATCCTTTTTAAGGGCCACATAAGGGTATCTCACCTAACATTAGAAGGAGATGACGAAGGGTTAGAGCTCTTACCACAAAATTATAGAATCAAGACCTACCACGACTTAGCTCTAAATAGCTTTTAATTTCATCCTGTCTTACTCTCCGTGAAGTTTCCATCCATTTACTCCCTAATCTTTTTACTGTGTTATGTACCCCTTCCCTTCCATATTTTATCACAGTCGATTCCCGACAACTCGAAATTGAAAAAGGATTCGAGATGCCGGGACTTCAGGTTATCGGGAGTTGAAAACAACGGAAAGGAAAAAAAGAAAAAAAGGTGTTTACTATTTTTTCTTTTCATACAGTATGCATTGTAATCAAATATGATTATAGGTCATTGAAGAGAAGTCGAGTGAAAATAGAACGATAAAAATCAGAACGTAACCTGAAACAAAACAAAGCAAAGCAGCAGGACAAGTAAAGTAAGTCATGAGTCGAGGTACTGCGAACTTTGCAATTTTCAAAGCGAACAACGTCGGGCTACTGCTACAGAGCCCATGTGATTTACTATTTTGAGAAATAGTCAGTTGATACGTTCAGAATTGTCTCAACTGATCTATTACTTCCGATTACCCTCGAAAAGCTTCCAAGGTTGGATTTTAGAGATCAGTATGTACCTCCAAAAACAAACTAAACTTCTGTAGCACGTCTATGGCACTGCGCACTTCGTGTTTTGAGGGGCTTTTCGGGTGGTTGACTCATCGATCAAACATGATCCTCATCCTCCTCTTAAAGCTCATTGTCATCTGATTAGTCCGTAACCGGTGGTTTCGCCAACGTGTCAATTCGCCAACGTCTAACATCAGTTCGCCAATGCTTTTATGTCACTTCGCCAATATCCAAAACAATTGTGATTACGAGTGAATAATAAACAACGCTTCTTCACGTGTAATCAAACAAATATATTGGGAGTCTATAGCTATTTAACTACGCAGATGTTAAAAATATTTTACAGTAGGTAAAAGCCTTTTTCAAACACCATCAGCCGTCAAGGAAATGAGACATTGGGGAGAGTGAAACGAACAATTTCAAGCGATACTAACCTACGAACACTCGTGAATACATCAAAAGTAAAATTACTGATTTATTACCTTTTGACAGACGTGTTTCAATGTAGTTTTATGGAGGCAGTGTGGCCGAGTGGTTAGAGTGTCAGACTCGTAATCTGCCGCTCCCGGGTTCGAGTCCCACCCTGACCACTGGATTTGTTTCGCGGTAGCACCGAGCTCAGATCCTTGGCCACGCTTGTAAATAACCAACTGGTTTGCCTCCGGCCAGTTGGGGGTTCTTAACGATCTTCTTGATGATGTTATGTTCAATTTAAACCATTTGTTTCATTTGTTTGCAAGGACCACGATGGAAACTACTGGTTCACCAGTAATTGTGTAATCCTATAAAGAGACTTTTTTTTTTTTTTAGTTCGAGTTATCGCGAAAAAAAATATATAGAGAGTTTGATCTGAAGGAAAACGACGAAAACTACCTCGAGTTAATGAGATGTTCGAGTTATACCGAGGGTTCAATTGCAGTGAATGTATGACGCCGAGAATCCAAGGGAAATTTATTTTGGTTCAAGTTTAAGCGACGTTTCGTTCGAGTTAAGGGAAGTCGACTGTATATATATCATGAATAAAGGCTGATAGTTTCTAAAGAAACTGTTTGGAGCTGCGTCGGTGGGGGTAACGAAATAATTTGGATCTATCAACCGAAAGTTGAAATGGTAAATTGGCCACCGTAACGATTACAATAGCTGACGTTTCGAGCGTTAGCCCTTCGTCGGAGCGAATAGAGGAATTGT